AAAAACTTTTGATCCAACTCCAATATTAATCATTACAAAAATGTCACAATCAGGAAACTTACTAACAAAACTTAATTCAGAGATTTAAAAATCATTATAAATATTACATTCAATTGATTAGTATCGATTGATTATTAAACTATTGCTCCTTTCTTTCAGTAAAAAAATTATAAAAATAATATAAATGATAAAACATTCAAATTAAAAATTTTGAAAATATGTTATAATAAAATAAAAACTTCCTGTACCACTGATTAAGACATTACACTAAAATGACTAACATTATTTTTTTTTATTCTGAGAATACTTAGAATTTAGATGATTTAAAGATATTATCTTTCACGGATATTTTCTAAACTAATAAACAAGGTTGAAAACGATAACAAAATATAACATGACCTCATTATTTAAACAAATAAATGGGAGGATTATTTGACATGGCAAATTATCTGGATTAACTTTTATTTAAATCCAGTAATAACAACGATATCTGAATTCTTATGGTAATTTTGTACGTTAAAGTAACTATAATACAGACGAATTTAACTATAGAATATAGTGATAACTAATAGCAAGATTAATTTTTCTTTTATCACATTACAAACTGATAAATAAAATACATAATTTACAATTAGTTATCGAATTATCATTATTTGCATAAGTCATAAGTAAAGTTATTTATAATGTAACTTTATAGTATTTTGTTTCCAAAGTTATCAAAACAATGTCACAGTATTTACAAATTACTAAATAAAATTTATTTCTATAATTATTTTAAATAATAATATGATTACAGCAATCATATTTCTAATTTTAAATTTATTTAAATTACTACTTGTAAAAATAACTCTTAATTTTAAAGTCAAACTTATTATTATTATTTGTACATAATATATTGATTTCCTACTAAATCAAGAATAAGTAACTCCTTTTTAAGTCTTCAAACTTTCATAAAACATTTCATTTTACTGAATTAAAAAGTATAACTAAATAAAAAATGTAAGTTTCCAATTTTTCTGAATATTTTGGACAAATTTTTGAAAGAGTTATATTAAATTAACAATAAAAACCAAAGATAAAAGAGAAAGTTATCTTGTTGCTTGCCTTAAAACATACAAACTGAACCAATTCTAAGCTTTTAGAACAAAAGTTAAAAGTCACACTTCTTGAAATCATCCCAGATCCTTACTTCATAAGAGATTAAGTGGACCCAAAATATAGAAGATAAATATGATGAAAAATTTGGCATCTATCAGTGAGACCCAGTATTATCTTACATAGTAGATAAATACTGCATTCCTGAATTGTCATAGTTCAGGGATTAACAGAAATAATATTATAGTTCCAGTTTTTCTAAGATCCAAATGTATTTCAACTATAATGATTTGAATAACTAAATGATCATCAACACTTTACAGAAGGCAGGTTACCCTAACGACAAATTTGTTTACCTCTGAAGAAAGGTTTGTCATTCATTATTCTAGCTTTCTATCATGTATGATATAATTGAATTGGTGTGATAAGGCAACATAATACATGGGCAATTTACCAAGACCTCCTCAGTGGACTTTATGGGGAAACTGGTCCCAATTTAGGAGTGCATATACATTTGGAATCAAACTGATTTAAGATTACTCTGATCGTTCAAATCCTGTATACATACAAACTATAGCGATCTGATCAATCAATATCCATGTATACAAATGCCATCCAGGATTGATTGTATCACAATCAAACTAATCTGAGCAGAGGATGGATCATTCGAATCAGATAAAAAAAAATTAAAGATGGTGACCTCCACGGTTAAAGTCAAACTGATAGTTGACAAGAAGAAATATGTTTAAATGTCGACAATGAAAAGTATTTAAAACTTAATAAATGATAAGTAAAGACATTATTAAAATATCCAATAAATAGATGAAAAAAATAAGTATTAAGAGAGTTTTGCAAAATTGTATAGTAAGAATGAATAATATGCACTCTCCCATTTTGTCATTATGTGAACAGTTTTATTCATGGAGCAAATACAATTCAATCCTACTTGCATACTTTCCCCCAATTAACATGATAGAAGCAATCTGTATCATGTTACAAAGACTGATCTGATATACTTTTTGTTACAGATGGATTGATCTGAAATGAAAAGTACAGTCGACCCCCCTATAACATACGTTCCTATAACGACAATTCCTATAATGTAGCGAAAAAATTGTAGCAACTTTCGTATAACGTACCTCCTATAACGTCGTTTCGCGACAAGATTGATAGAGTCTGGACCAATAGTGGATGAGCAGCCGAACTACTTTCCTCCGACCCTGCGCCACGCTACGGAGCGGCTAAATTGAGTTTGCTATCGTCTGTTTAGTATTATATATAAATTATATATAAATTAGGTACTGTACATATAATTATATATTAATTATATATAAATTAGGTACTGTATATATAATTATATATTAACTTAATTTATTGTAACTTTATTATAATTATATATATGCTTTCTGCCGCCTGGCAACACGCTACGGAGATTTTAGGCTAGTAAGTTGAGTTTATTATCGTCTGTACAGTATGTAAATTAGGTACCGTAAGTCTAATACAGCACTAATTTTATACATTTCTTGTGAAAGAAACACTTCTTATTCAACGGCCATAAAAATTATTTATATTAATGATGTCTCCAAAGGTCAAGTTATTTTTATGCGAAAAATTCGTTATTAGAAATCGCGGCCGCCGTTTAATGTGCTGTTCCGCGATGAAAACCAGCTTTAAGCAACGGCGTAGTCGAACGGTACACACTCGGTAAGTAATCCTATAATTTTTTGTTTATAGCATAGTTTATACGGATTATTCCCAAAAAATTATACGTGTTTTGGAAATGTTGAGTGGAATTAGTCTAGAATCGGTTAATTTTATAGAAGAAAACCTTTCGAACAGCCTTAGTCCGTAAAGTTCCCACCTATCGGGCTGCGATTGGATCATGTATTTAATCGTTCCTATAACGTAAAATTCGATTAGCGTGGAACGTATCTAAGCGTTATAGGGGGGTCAACTGTATATGTACAGTAATACCCCGAACATACGCAATAGGTAGGACCGAGCAATAACCGCGTAAGTCGAGGTATAATTTCGCAATTTGTGTAAAATCCAAGTCGGATGTATGTAAGCTAATAAATGTTCTCGTTAATCTTATCTCGTCATTTGATTCGTTCACGGTTCAAGAAATCACCACATAGAGTCTCTCGAGTCTCCGTACATATAACAAACGCAGAAATAAATAACACAAATTGTAGCTTTGTGTAGATTCCGCGCGACACGTCCAAACATAGACACTGAACAATAGTGTGGGAGGAGTGAGTAATCAAGAGTTGCGTGGCGCTCAAACAAAAGACGAATCGACGAGATTTGAAAATCGCGTAACTCCGAGTTCGCGTAAGTCGGGGTAGCGTAAGTCAAGGTATTACTGTACTGTACTCTAGGTGTTAAATAACCCCAGAAAATTATTATTCATTTAAGTGAACCTATTACTAATTTCAACAAAAACCAATTGAACCCAGATTTATTAACTCACTACTTATAATTTCATGAAGCAATTTTCACACAGTAAGTTATGTAAGTAATATTAATTACTTCAATAAAATTCAAATAAAGCACTCTTATAAAAATTGCTTGATTACACTTTTTTGAGGGTCTCAAAAAGTTCACATACTGTCATTTTGGGGGGCCTATATCTCGCGAAGGGTTGTCCATACAGGCATGGTTCCTTTGACTTTTTTGTTCCTATTGATATGCTCTACAGCTCTGTTAAAGTCCCAATCGCGTCATACGGATCTAGATTTCTACCCTAATATGTGACCTCTGGACTTTGGCAACATAATTTTGTTTTCCTGTTTTTGTGTCACGTCATTATTTGACCCCAATTAAGCTTATATTCATAATGAAAAACATTCAAACTAAATTTGACCAGTGAAAAGATGTAAAACTATATATTAATAGTTTGAAAATCATTAGCACATGTCATTTTAGTACCTAATGTACTGGCAATATGGAGTATGTTGGTACTCGGTAGGCTTAAAGCTTGCAACTCCATAAGAAAAAAATGTATGCAGCCTATCAGAAGTCCATAAAACTCCCTTATGGCCTGCATCCGGAAAAGATTGCCCATTGCTAATCTAAATACTTTGATGTTATCATCATAAATTTTTAACTTTAAATATTTTCTTTTCTTTGTTATATGTAGGTCTATATTACATTGATGAGAATAAAATATGAAAAAATTGTAAATTAATGTATTTGTTATTTTGATAGATCTATCTGTTTATGCATGAATTAGTTCAATTATTGCTTTATTGATAATTCCAATAAACAATAGTGGCTTTTTATACACATGCATTTAACTATGTGCTTTACGATGAGCTATGCAGTCAGTCACATAGGCAAGGTCGTCAAGTTCAACTGTTCTCACATTTATAAGTACACATCTAACTGTGGAAAGTGACCTTGGTGGATTCTTGTTGCTAGACGAAAGAATTTGTAGCCAATTTTATAAATGTCTATAAAGAACATCCTTGCTCATGGCATGTCAAAAATGTACTTGTAAAAGCTGCAAATCTCTGCTTCAATTCTTTATTTTAATAGCTTTTTGCTTATTTGACAATTGCAGAATTAATTTCAAGTGTTCACAATATTGGTTCTAAAACCAAAAACATTAATTTACATAAAATTTAAATTAATTTTCAAATATAAACATGAAAGTGATAATGACAAAATTCAATTTCTCACATTATGTCTAATTTGTTAATAACTTTTATGTTCAAGAATTTTATTATTTAAAAAGAAAAAAGTAGAGTCTCAGTTCCTCAGAATTTACAGATTTAAATATTTGTAACAATATGACTAAACTAAAACCAATAATGATAGATATTTTTCACATATTTACATTTAAAATATTTTATACAAAAAGTTTTATTAAATTACAATAAAAAATTTTAAATATTACTCACCTTTTTACTTTCTTGATCTAATACATCTGCCTCATCACTTATTTTAACAGAAGTCATAAATTCAGCAATTTCTGGTGTACCAACGACAGGTTTGTTTCGATTTCTGTTATAACTCTGTAATAACGAATCGTAGCTCTGACTATCGGAATTATCGGAGTCCTTTTTTTCGGCATTCTCTTCTTGATCAAATGACGACGACCAGCCTTGTCGAGATATCCTGTTTCCTAGAGTGTCTTCTAAAGAAACAGAATCCGACGTAGTTTCGCCAAACCCCAAATCTAAATCCGGAACCGAATTTGGTGAAGCTGCAGGTTCGTAAACTAAAATATCTTCAATATCATTTGAACAAGAGCCGGCTTCGTAACTATCCGAAGTAATATCATTTTTAATTTTACATTGTTTACTGTTATATTCTTTTGTTGGAACTTCCAAACTATCTTGCTGTTCTTTATCGTCAGAAGAGACAGATTCTTTAATCTGACTATCTTTTGAGTCACTTACTTTTTGTTCTACATTTTCGACTATTTTCTTAGTTTTTGGCTTATATTCTTGCGAGAAAAAGTGCACAACATCCATCGCGGGCATTACGGGTTCGGGTCCGGGCGGCGGCATCCAAATTCCGGACATCATCAACGGAACCGGAGACCAAGTATTTAACATCACGCAATTATACGTCAGTTGAAAATCGAAAATGGAAAGTCCGTCGAGGTAAGTCTTCATGATGTCTCAAACAAAAGACGAATCGACGAGATTTGAAAATCGCGTAACTCCGAGTTCGCGTAAGTCGGGGTAGCGTAAGTCAAGGTATTACTGTACTGTACTCTAGGTGTTAAATAACCCCAGAAAATTATTATTCATTTAAGTGAACCTATTACTAATTTCAACAAAAACCAATTGAACCCAGATTTNCGTCAGTTGAAAATCGAAAATGGAAAGTCCGTCGAGGTAAGTCTTCATGATGTCGGGCTGTTCGGGATCTTGTAAGTACGCCGTCGAACGGTAATAATACTGCAGGGTAGGCTTATCTTGGATCATCGCTTCGATGTAACTAGTAATAAGACCATCATTAAGGGCTAATCTTAACCAAGCTCTGCATCTACCAACATCTGTATTTACTTGAGTTAAATGATTTATTTGTGATAAAACGTCCTTGTGACTATATATAGTGATTACAGGCCAGAAATTAGGTTCTGGCATTTTATCGTAATTATTTGAAAAGACAGCCGATACTTTACTGACTAATCGATCTTTTAAACCATGAATGAAGATCGCTTCGAGACAATTGCAAACTCGAACGATATTATCTCCTCCAATAACAGGGGCATTGTTTTCTATATTTTCCTGTTGTAAATTACGTATAGCTTGTCCTAGTTGATCCGTTAAAGATTTTTTCGTAAAACTCTCCCTCACCTCTTCTTCTATCGTAGGAGAAGTTGCTACCTTCCACAATAAACTCATAGTAAATTTTTACGGAGTCTTTCTTTCTTCCAATATCGAAAAGCAACCATTTTCAAAATATAAATAAATAACAGCGCCATCTCTCCCACATAGAGTCTCTCGAGTCTCCGTACATATAACAAACGCAGAAATAAATAACACAAATTGTAGCTTTGTGTCGATTCCGCGCGACACGTCCAAACATAGACACTGAACAATAGTGTGGGAGGAGTGAGTAATCAAGAGTTGTGTGGCGCTCAAACAAAAGACGAATCGACGAGATTTGAAAATCGCGTAACTCCGAGTTCGCGTAAGTCGGGGTAGCGTAAGTCGAGGTATTACTGTACTGTACTCTAGGTGTTAAATAACCCCAGAAAATTATTATTCATTTAAGTGAACCTATTACTAATTTCAACAAAAACCAATTGAACCCAGATTTATTAACTCACTACTTATAATTTCATGAAGCAATTTTCACACAGTAAGTTATGTAAGTAATATTAATTACTTCAATAAAATTCAAATAAAGCACTCTTATAAAAATTGCTTGATTACACTTTTTTGAGGGTCTCAAAAAGTTCACATACTGTCATTTTGGGGGGCCTATATCTCGCGAAGGGTTGTCCATACAGGCATGGTTCCTTTGACTTTTTTGTTCCTATTGATATGCTCTACAGCTCTGTTAAAGTCCCAATCGCGTCATACGGATCTAGATTTCTACCCTAATATGTGACCNTAGCTGTTTAAATGCCCGTGTGCAATACCGATTATGCCGCCCCCTGTTTAACTACGACTACCTACGCTGAGCTTGCCAGAAAGGCTCTTTAGTGTTGTCTCATAAGGTTGTGAAAAAAGAAAAGAAATACTTTATAAAGAAAAACTATTTATTATTACTAAGTTATTTTTGTTTACTTAAGTGTAAAACCATATAAATATTTATTTACAGAAATTTAACTCTTCTTGCCTTTATGTTTGCGAAATCTGCTATGAATTTTCTTGTATCCAATCTAAGATTTCGTGTTCAATTGAAACTATAGCTAAATTACTTAGTCTTTGCTGGTACATTGTTGATCTTAAATAGTTTTTTATAATTTTTAACTTTGAAAAATACCTTTCACCAAATGCAACTGAAACCGGCAATGTAAGTTTAGATTTTACAAATATGTGAGCCGTTCACAGCTCGGTACACGTATTTGTAAAATCTAAGTGACTCGTACAACATGGAATTCATATAAAATGGAATTATCAACAGTGTTATAGGGGGGTTGACTGTAACACTGTTGATTATTCCGTTTTATATGAAATCCATGTTGTACGAGTCATTTAATTTTACAAATATGTGTGCCGGTCTGTGAATGGCTCATTTATTTGTAAAATCTAAGTGACTCATACAACATGGAATTCATATAAAACGGAATTATCAACAGTGTTATAGGGAGGTCGACTTGTATATCGTGACAACACTGCTACATTTGTGAGCAAGTTTATAAGAATGCACTAATTGAAGCATAATTTCGTCATACTTTAATTCCAGCATTCTTGGATAATTGACTCTTATCAATTTTCTATTACATAAACAACAAATTATCAATTACCACGAGACTGTTCTCTCATTCTTGGCATTTCATGTATTGATAATTATTAAAAGTCGGATTTATATGCACGAATAATCTATGTAATATGCAAGAAAATGTACCAAAATATGTTTAATAATGCAACAAGCGTGTCAAAGTGAATTAAAATATGCATTAAAGAATGAAAAAGAAGCAGCTATTAATAAACCGACAACTAAACTGGCTTTAAAATATCGTTATATTAATTACATTTATACAATTTTATATATTTTTTTTAATATATTTATTTACATTCGTTTATACGTTTCTTAAATGTCTGCAGTAATTTACATTATCTGTTATTTAAAATAAAATAAATAAAATATTTGCTTATGTTCTGAATTACTTGACCATAACTCATTAATTGCGCTGCCATTCGAAAAAAAAATGTAAAGCTATATATTCCAATTGTCGTCCGTCTTTCCTTAATCTCGAGAACGAAGTTAAATAGATGGAAGAAATTAAGATCAATGGAAGCGTTTGAAATCTTCCAAGTGTCTTGAAAGGGTATATGTATCAATCTCGAGGAGAAAGAGACGTGATCCAAAGCATGGCTATTTTTAGTGGATAACTTAATAAGTGAAGAGAACGACTTTGGCAATTAGAACTCAGTTCGTTTAATGAATTTTGTAATACAGTAGAGCGTCGATTTTCCGAAAGTCAATCATCCGAAACGTCAATCATCCGAAAGAATTCCAGTCGGCAAATTTAAATTTTCGCCAGTGCTGTGGCGCTTCAATCTTTGGCTATGTCTTGGGCTACTCAAATATTTTACGTTTTTGATACTAAATTAACATTTGAAGTATAATTTTTTATTGTTTATATATTTTTCAATATATTTATTTTGTTTGTTCAAAATAAAAAAAATAATTTTTAACGATACAATAGTCTTCGTTAGGCTTAATATCGACGAAAATTCAACTCGAAGCGACACGCAACGGAGAAAAATTTCAACATCGGATACGTTAAACTATTTTTTCGTACATAAATCGGTTATCCGAAATATCAGTTATACGAACAACCCCAGTCTCCAATTGATTCGGAAAATCGACTCTCTACTGTATATGTCTTTTGTTCAAATTAATAAAAGTAAGTATATATAATTAGTGATAAAAATTAGTACTTTCAGCCTGTAAAAAATGTTTCAGAGAACAGAAACTTCAATAGTACAGGAAAATAAGTAATTAACAAGAAAACACGAGCTTTTTTATTCTAACCTTATTTCTCATTATCATTATTTATATGTAAATATAGTAAACACAAGTTGTCATAGAAACATACAATCAACATACAATATTCTCTGATATATCTACGTTACTGTACTGTGTGTTTAAAAAGTAAATAAAATTTCGATTTTAATCAAGAAAGAACTTTTTATGTATATTAATGAAAATAAGTATATGTTCAAATTAATGAAGATAAGTATATTTACCAGAAAATAATCTCTGAAGGACTGTTATAGGAAAAAAAAAACAGTTTTCTTTATGTAACGTGACGTAAACACAGTCAATTTGTCAGCCACGAACCACTGCCAGTGTTCAGTAGTTTTACATACTTTGGTAAATATGAATGACGAAAGAAGAAATAAAACGAAAAAAAAAAAAAACATGAAGAAAGAAAAAGAGATAATATAAAAAATTAGAGTAAGAACGAAAACAGATATTACGTAGTACAGTAGAAGTACAATACATTGGAAAATATCTTTTATTTATTTTTATCATAGTTACGTAAAGAATGAAGAGGATGCTGAAACACAACCCTTTAAATAAAAATAATAATTATAATATGACATTACGAGTAAATACAGTTAAGAATGTATAAGTTTCTCTTTGTAGCTGTAAACATTGTCACTATACGAGATTTTCGTTATTATTCAGGTTTGGAATAATGATAGTGAAGAAAAGAAGCTTAATATTTAACTGATAGTTAAATATTAAGCTTCTTTAACATAGATTTAACTGAGTATATAAACAGGATAAATATCGTGTCACGAGTAATTGTATTACGCTACACGTTCGAATGACAGATCTCAATCTGTATAAACTTCCTTTTCACTGCTGTGATCGCTGATTATTATTAGCGATCACAGCAGTGAAAAGGACAGCACCATTACGCATCAAGACGTTGCGTTAATAAGACACAACGTTTTGATTCCTAATGGTGCCATTAATGTAGGCACAGCGCTTCTTGCTTCAATCTATTTTTTATTCATTTTTTTTCTGTACAAATCTGAACTAACACAAGAAACGTTCCCACTTTTCATTTATCACTTCTTCGTTTTGATTTATTTTCTTGCTACAAAATAATATTCCTCTTTAGTTTTGTCATCAAGTTGAGACTTGACATTTTCTACTTCATCAACACCACCACATTCCTTACATTCTGCCTATTTAGAAATTTTCCTATTTGAGAAGATTGGAACAGCTTATGTATCCTTACATATTCAGACTGTAATGTGCAAATTTAACCGTCTTTTATGCAGACACGTGTGTTAGTTGTACTTTCTTGAACATTTCTTGTATTTACAATCAGTGTGTAGAATAAGTTAATTTTTTAAAAGAAATTTTTTATAAAGGAAGTGTAATAAGAAACATGATTATTTATTTGTTTACATAATATATACAATAGCACTTCTGAAATTTTATCGTTTTATTAAACTTCATGTTATTGGAAATTCAAGCGACTCCGCTATTAAATCATCTATTTGTAAGGAATTTAAAATTGTTAAGGACAAAATATGCAGTATGTAATATACCGATCAATGCATTAAAATATCATTAGAATTGCAGATTCTTTAGAAATAATGATCAAAAGTTTGGAATAGTTTTTTTTCAGAATGTAAATTTAATTAGTTACTCTGATGTAAAAGTACATAAAAACTAAAGATATGATTTTCTGTTGTTATAATTATATTTGCAATGGTTTTTTGATGTATTATTCATTAACTTTATAAAGGAATTGCTAACCAAAAGCGAATTAATTTATTTAATTCACTATCTCATTAAATTTTAATTTGGAATACATTATTATTGTTATTATTAAATGACACTATAAATTTTCAGAGATAATGAATTTACGTAAGCAGTATTTCTATGAACAGTTTCGTTTCGTCCTCTAAAAGATAGAGATTGAGCATGAGTTCGAACTTACAAGAGGTATGTCTGAGCTGTTTCATCAGCCCTTGTTGGACAACGGCTCTTATATTTGGGCTGGACGCATTTGAAACTTGTAAATGTTCAAAGAAAGACAGAGAATTTCAAAATATCAAATTGAAGAATATGTATATTCGATTTATCGAATTGAATTTACGCGGATTTACAATTCTTCTCATATGGCATGTAATCCCAGTAATCAATGAATATTCGATATGCATTGGTTCGTATGACGTATTCGAAAGAAATTCCATGTTATTTAAAATAGTGTTTTCTGTTATATTTATCATTTATTGTGTTGCATTCAAATTCATCAAACGCAACAAATTCAATTTAAAAAAGCCATTAAGAAATAAATACTTTCGAGTAAAAATGATTAACGAAAATAACATCTTACTACAACATGTTACTCTGCTCTTTTCCTTTGATATAATATTAGCCATTGGTTTGTATCAAATTGCGGCCACTGTATTTGTCTACCCTTACATAGAAATGAAGCAAAAATTTCATGGGGAGGCTCTCTTCTGTACTACATTCACCTCCTTAAATGTAAGTTTTCTTTTTGGTGGAATCGGTTACAGCTTATTGTTAGCGGCATTGTTAGTGCTGATCTCGCATAAGGAATTTGAGCAATTATCGATGGAGCTACTTTTAATAAAAACAATCGATTATGATTTACGAGAGAAGCTAAACGATTTAATCATGCATCATGAAGAACTTTGGATTTTTGTGCAACAGTTCAATTCTAAATATAATTTAGTATTTGGATTTCTGTACTTTGGAATCGTTTGGTTGACAAGTTTTTTATATTATGTCTTTTTGTTTTTAGAATTTCATTATTTTATTAAATTTCTTATGCTTTTATTGATGATACTATTCACTTGCATTAGCATAATTGCTGGCTGTCTTCTGTGCTCTTTAGCATTTACGGTAATTACATTTTATATGCACTATTGACATATGCTTTAGATAGTTTATAGTTGCTTTTTCTTGCAGATGGAAAATACATTTCAAGATATCAGACAATTAGCAGGATGTGACATTGGAGAAAATCAAAAGCTAAAGGTATGAAGTTTAAATGACGTTTAAAACAAATATTTTTCTCATGTTGACAATAATTTCAGATTTTGAACTTTATGAAAAGATTTGGAAAAGTTTCTCTCTGTCTCACAATTGGTAGATTTTTTATTATTGACAAGAGAATTCCCTTGAAGGTTGTATTATTTTCTTAATTAATTGCGGTTTTGTAACTGGAAATAAATTGAGTTAAATTTAATTTTTCAGATGGCAAAAACGTTGCATTCAGTTTTCTCTGGTTTCAAAAAGCTAAAAAGCATTTCGAGTGAAGAACAAAACTGTTTACAGATTTATCAAATTAATTTCACAGAAACGAATTAAAAAAACATCTGTAGAAATGTGTAGTTTCTATTAAAAAGAGTTTTTCTTGGCAATTATTATGTTCGTTAAATGTATTTTATAGACGACTATAAATAAAGCATTATAGTTTATTATTGCTTAAAATCATTTTTTTCGGAAATATCGGTAAACATATCGCTATTATTTTAGTATTTGATTTTGAAATTACGCTTTCAAATTTATTTCTACAATGAGCCAGTGGAAGTTATAATGCAGACACTTGCCTTACTTTTAATATAGTGCAGATTATTTATTTATGAAGTTGTCAAAATTAGTTAGAAATGTCAAGTATATGACGTAAGATTTTCTTCTCTACAATTAGTATACATAAAAGAAAATACGTATAAATACAAATAACACTAGTAAAAATATAAAAAAGATAATAAAATAATAGTAATTGTTTTATTGTTAATATTAATAACAATAATTTATTAACGTTATTAATTAAAGATTTTTTACGAACGTGTTTATAACAGAGTTTAAATCGACACTGTTTACGAATCAATCTAAGATATTCAAGTATAATTCTTAAAATATGTTTGTACACGTACAGATATAGAAACAGAATATAACAGTAACTTAATAAAGAACATTGCAACAATTTACATATTTATAGCAGTAATTCTCAAACTGTAAATCCAGATGCATCGATGTGTCCCAAGAGATGAGTAAATGCGCCATGAATAATATGAACGTAAATTTTAAAAATAAGAAGAAACTGTTTTATATAAAGATTTATTACATTCATATAGTTTACATTTAAATCGGAAGTTAAATTAGTATAATTGAGATCGGATAATTTAGTGATAATTTAGCCTAAAAATGAAGAGAGCGAGAGTAATCTAATCTAGAAAGAGAAAATTGTTGGAAATCACAAACCTCCGTCGGAAAATACTTTCGAATATGAAAAAAAGTGGTGAATTAACTTTATTGTAAACTTTGTGTTTAGTGAAGCTTCCAGCTTGCAAGTCAGGCCATACAGGAAGAACCGACCAGCAGCTGTTTTCAGCGAGAATTATAGACCCAAATTTGAGAAAAGAAGGGAAAGGTGAGAAAGTACAAAAGATAAAAAGTAGTGAGAAAGGTTAAATGGATCTTCTGTTATGCAAATATTAATCCTTAATTTTCCAACATTTCTCACTTCTTTATCTTTCCTCCTTTCTCTTTTTTCTCCGCATTTGGGTCTATAATCCTATGAGTCACAACTCCAGCTTTATTTAGTATTTATTGAGCTAAAACACGCAAAAATTTAACAAAAATAATATTAAAGTAACCAAGACATAGCCAAATATTGAAGCGCCACATTACTAGCGGACATTTGAAATTTGCCGACTAGAGCGTTCGGTTAACCGATGTGACGGTTAATCGGGGGGTCGGATAATCGATGCTCTACTGTGACGCCGTTGCCTATTGAGCAGATAACGTTTTCATCAGAAAGACTAATCAAATATTGCAAACATGTGATTTTTTAATATTATGGCATTTTTTCTGTTGTATTGAAATATAATATGCGTTGTTCCTATATAAATAAAAAGTGTTTTTTTGTGATTTTTAAATTTGTAGTAGATTAATAGGCCTAAAAGGCTTATTCAAAAGGCTCCGTATATAAGTTTGCTCCTCGCGCCAAATGCGTTAGCCGTGATCTTTTGTATAGTAGCAATAATAATCTATATGTATATAGCTAAAAACCGGATTATTTCTTTCTTTCTTTCTTTCTGTCACTGTATGCCAAAAATGGCCATTAGGGCGCCCCTAGCTATTATTTAAATTAACAATAAATTCAGTATATTATTATTGTTATCTGTAATAGGAATTTATTATTTATAGCACGGAATGACGCAGATGCTACTAGAACGCCCACCGGGTTACTAGAATAGAAGGATTAGAAGTACGAAATCTATATATATAATCGAGACGGGTTGATGATAATAATAATAATAAGCGCAGAGCCCATACGGTTAAAAGTTGAAAGTTGAAATTTGGTACACAGATAGGGTACGTCACGAAAACGCACACTAAGAAGGGATTTTTCGAAATTCCTCCCCACGGGGGAGAGGGACAGGATTAAGGCTTAACACTTCCATCAACAATGGAAGTGTTAAGTAACAATGGAAGTTTTAAATAACAATGGAAGTGTTAAGTAACAATGGAAGTGTCAACAATGGAAGTGTTACGTAACAATGGAATTGTTAAGAGAAAGCGACGTGCAAGACACAGATGCAGATTTTTCGTTTTTGCGGAAAATCGAACATATTTTTAGACCCATCTAAAAAATTCTCTAATCAGTCCGGAAACAGGAGGACCCAATTCTTGCATTCTGTGAAAACGGGTAAGGTTGACTATAACGTAATAATGTTAATCTTCCCTATCGTTACTTTTGCCCGAGCAACGCCGGGCCTACCAGCTAGTAATCTAATAACCTTAATTTTTGTTGTTGTTTTTTGTCCGAGCAACGCCTGGATCATCTGCTGGTAAGTAAAATAAATAACTCTGCTTTATTAAAACTAAGATTCTAAGGCTTTTTCTCTCTTGCCATTAAATTCCGGCAAAAAAATAAATAAAAAGTTAGACGAATGATGGCTAATGAGCGTCACATACAGCGATGCTCGCAGAGTTAAAAAAAGTGGGGGAACAAGCTATAAATAATGCACACCTTATGCAAGAAGATTCAAACTGTGATTCAATGTTAGATCAGCGCTTTCACTGGTTGCAATCTGAGCTTACTTGGAATCTGGTGGCACTGGTTGCAATCTGAGCTTACTTGGCCTTGAAAACAAGGAATATTTCTTTTCAAAGCCAAGTTTTGGTCAACATACCACTAACTTGTAAGTTTCGTGGGACAATGGACAAATACCGCTCATCAGGTTCTTTTATATTTGCAGAATAAGCAACGAGTCATGAATTACCTGTTGTTTGTTGATAATGGAATTTGGGGTTTCTTGGGGATTAGGAATAGGGCAACACAGACGAAAAGGGGCAAGTGCCCTATTGTATGGGTGCCCCTGATTTTCAGAAAGAAATATATTAAAAATGGACAATTTGTATGGTCATAAAACAAAACTGGTTTGTTAATATTGTTAAGTTTTCCGTTGCTCAGGAAGGTAAGAATGAAATAACCATTGTGTATATTCCAGTATACATAAAATACCGCATCGGTGAACCGCGATGTGCAAAAATGTGTTCCGATATTCACCGGTGCAGCAACCGATGCTCATCGAGTCGTAAATATGGTGTACTCCGATGAAGCAAAATGGCTACCTCCATGATTATATTTAGTGACTTTATAAACTAATCATAAAAGTTGAATAAGAAGGTTAGCATGTAATATTATTTAATCCATATGTTGTAATTAAATATAAGATTATTTGACGATGATTTAAATTATTTTTAAATGTATCTAATTGAAACATATAGGCTAAATCACTAGTAGTAAGTAGACCGTAATTTATTCGCAAAGGCATGGTCTGGACCACTATAGATGGCGAAGATACCAGGAACCTTACGTGTTCAGGGCGGTCTCTCATTTACGGAATCTCGGGATAGCGATTCCGAACATTTATCGTCAACAGAATCTGCCGCCGACTGTCGAGCAGATGGGCTCGCGGATAAATATTGATGTGTTTAGGACTGGGAGTATTCGTTTACCTGGCGAGGACAGGGTGGCATTTGATGAGTGGATGCGCAAATACCGCGATGGGTGGGCTTTAATCGGGACAGATGGGTCGAAGTCACCCAATCGGACGTCGATGGGCGTCTTCATATCAGAGGGGCGGAGGAGTGAGTCGTGGGAATTGGACGCTCAGTGTGGAGTTTTCGGGGCGGAAGCTGCTGGTGTTTTGCGGGGGTTGGCTTTGTGTTCCCAAAATCCTTGTCCGACCATTATATGTACAGACAGTCGTTCAGTGCTAGAGGCGTTGGCTAACGTGGGGTATACTTCGGATGCGATCATCATCGATATTGNACATACCACTAACTTGTATGTTTCGTGGGACAATGGACAAATACCGCTCATCAGGTTCTTTTATATTTGCAGAATAAGCAACGAGTCATGAATTACCTGTTGTTTGTTGATAATGGAATTTGGGGTTTCTTGGGGATTAGGAATAGGGCAATACAGACGAAAAGGGGCAAGTGCCTCAAGTGCCCTATTGTATGGGTGCCCCTGATTTTCAGAAAGAAATATATTAAAAATGGACAATTTGTATGGTCATAAAACAAAACTGGTTTGTTAATATTGTTAAGTTTTCCGTTGCTCAGGAAGGTAAGAATGAAATAACCATTGTGTATATTCCAGTATACATAAAATACCGCATCGGTGAACCGCGATGTGCAAAAATGTGTTCCGATATTCACCGGTGCAGCAACCGATGCTCATCGAGTCGTAAATATGGTGTACTCCGATGAAGCAAAATGGCTACCTCCATGATTATATTTAGTGACTTTATAAACTAATCATAAAAGTTGAATAAGAAGGTTAGCATGTAATATTATTTAATCCATATGTTGTAATTAAATATAAGATTATTTGACGATGATTTAAATTATTTTTAAATGTATCTAATTGAAACATATAGGCTAAATCACTAGTAGTAAGTAGACCGTACTTAAAAATGGAGTATGAAACGTAATCGTTTTTGTATAAAGAGTTCTTTTAGGCTTTATTACAACAACAGTAGCAGCGGATGAAAATATTTTATTATCATCATTATTTTTACTATTCATCTGTATTAATTCAAAATTATTTTGACTAAATAAATCTGCATATGCCAATAGAGGGTTTCAAGTTGACATCACTTGTGACGTCACGAGCATGCGCAATTGTCCGGCGCCATCTTTATGGTTTGTTTACGTTTTATTTGTGTTTATGAGCGCTTTAGCTGGAGTTCTTGTGTTGTTTATTCGTCGCGAATATTACTATGGTGAATTATTGTGCAATTGGGTATAATGCTAGTTCACTCGAGAACAAAGGAACGTCATTTTTTTTAAATTTCCGGCATGGTTATATTTACCATAGGTAGCCAAGATGGCTGCGCTTCCTGTAGCCTCGGATAAGGTCGCTAGACGACGGTCGACGTAGAGGGCGCTTTTTAGATATTTGCGACGGATTAATTATGCAAATTATTTTCGGACGGCAATGTGCGTTTGCGGGCGAGTTTGGTGACGAGAGAGAGAGAGAGATTTAGGAATTCGAAAAGAAATAAGGAAAAAAAAGGGCGAGGTTTGTGCGATTAATTGATTTTATAATATTTGTAATAATGGAAGATTTAGAAATTGATAGCGAAGAATTTCCGTCGAAGTGCACGAGTGGGCAGTTCTGTCGACTTTTGGAATGGGAATATGCAAATTTAGGTTTACGTGCCGGAATTGGTGTTAGCGACTTCGAATTTGCCGCAAGATTAGGCATTCGGCACGTCGAGGACGCTTGTAGAATGTGTAGTTCCGAAATCGCTCTAAATTGGATCATTTATAAATTTGTCAATTCCGGATGCACGGTTCGCACGGACGAGTGGAAAGGTTACAACGACATAGACAAACTGGAAGGACTAGACTCGAACACAGAACGGTCAACCATTCGGAAAATTTCGTCGATCCAAAAGATCGAAAGACTCTGGGGTTATTTGAAGAACAAGAAGAATTTGCTAAGACACTATACGGAGGATCTGTCCGACTCGTACTTGTATTCGTTCATGTACAAAAAGTTCTTGAATTGGCCGTCGAAAAACCCCGGCGAAAAGTTTTACGCATTCGTTAAGCATCTGCGCAACATATATCCCGGTTCCGGAAAACAGCAACGTGGAAAGAACCCGAGAGTCTACCCGCCGCCCCTCCAGTTTCGACAAGCGACAAGAAAGCGAAAAAAACAACAACAACAAAAAGGGGAAGAAACGGTGGAAACAAAGCCAATGCAACGGATAAAATCGACAAAAAAAAAAAAAAAAAAAAAAAAAAGAAACGTCACTTCCAAAAGAAAGTGCAGGAGTAAAAAGCAGTCTACGTCCGGAAAAACCAAACGTCGCAAAAGAGAATCCGGCGAACAATAGAGAGAGAGAGAGTAAGTAATCCGTTTTTTTTTTCCTAATCGTTATTTTTGTAATTCGATCTGTTTTTTCCCCTTTTCGCGGCGGCTCTGCTGCCGCCGCCGTCGTCTTTCGTTTGCACGCATGCGCGCGTGCAAACAAATGATGGAGACCGGAAGCGCCGACTGAATCGGCGACCGCCGCCATCTTGGCTACCTAGAGTAAATCTAAACCGGCTACTTGTAAGATAGTTATGGGCCTCTAAAGATTTGCAAGTTTTCGTTTGTGGAAGAGAGTAGTAATTTGCCGTCAAAACCAAATAGTTTATGATGTTACCAAATTCTACTTTAGTCCACAACTCTTAATAATCTACAACGAAGATCCATACGAGTCACCATGGCTTAGTATGGATCGATCCCTTGACATAATGAAACTTTCTCTATATAAAGCAGCATCTTGTCCTATCAGACCGTGAGAATAGCCTGCCAGAAAAGCATTTTTTAAACTTTGTCCATGATATAAAAATACTGCAGTTCTATTAAGTTTAAATTGAAAAAAAGCGCTGCCAGCCTGTCAAGTGACAAACCACGCCGCTAACTAAGCAAACGGAAGCTAGACCACAAACATGGCGAAGGGGCAGAGTAAACGTGCGGTTTATCACGTGACAAGCGACCCTCTATATAGTTTTTTTTTAATAAATTATGTTTGAATTATAATTATATAAAATGGATAGTTTACATTTTATTTATTTGTTTAATATATATATTATTTATTTATTTTAATAGAACATTTTTCAAATGGAAAATTTTCGGTTAATTTTCTAATGTATTTTTAAAATTTATTTCTCATTCGAAAATGGAATTTATGTTCCGTAATATTAGTTTTCTTAGCCTTATTATCAGAATGTCCATTGTAGGAAGTTCAAATCTTCAAAGTCTGAATTTATTGAAAAATTATAAAATTGTCAAGATTTCAAGAAATTTTGAAAGCTCTTTTTACTCCAATATTAAGAACTTACTTACTCTAAAATTTCATGCCTTTGGAGAATATTTTGACATTCTTTTATATGTAGACGAAACATTAACATCATCGAACAGTATAGTTGAAATACACAAATATGGCCGTATTTTGAAAAAATCCCTCCTGGATCTCGACGAATATTTTATTTATCAAGGGATTGTACGAGGAAGAAATTATTCAAAAGTTAGTGGATATTTCTACAAGACGTTCTTCACAGGAAGTATTGATTTATTTCAAGAAATCTATTATCTAGAACCAGCTTTTCTTTATCTAAACGATACGAGATACGAATATCAAACAATTATTTATAAAGAATCTGACGTGAAATATCTTAAATGCAAGTCTACAAACGAAAATGAAAATGCTTCTTGTAAGAAGATACATTACAATTTTGCGAAGTCGAGTACTGATTATCGTTTACAGAATTTTAAAGTAAGAAAGATCAAACAGAAAAAAATTTGCGGCATAGAATTAATCGCCGATCATACGTTTTTTAAAGAAATGGGAAAAAATCACGGATGGACTATTGCAGAGATGCTTTATCATTTAAAGATGAGCGATAAAATATTTCGTTCCACCGATTTCGATGGAGATTCAAGACCTGATAATATTGGGTTTTCGGTGGATAAAATCACAATATACGAATCAAAGAACGAAACAAATTATCCAATGGCCAGAGTTTCTCATCGTGCTGAATATTTCTTAAATGATTTATCATATCATGTTCAAAATTACTGTCTTGCAATCTGTTTTTGCTATAGGGAATTCGAAAAGAACGTTCTTGGAATGTCGTATCGTGCTACGAGCGATACTACTAATATTTTTAACAATAATTTTTACTTTGGTGGAATTTGTGCGAAATCTTTATCTTCAATATTTCGTTCACCTCGTTCGTTAAATGTTGCTTTTATTACTGGCTTAAGCAAAAGTAAAAAACTTCCTAAACCGATGGTTAGTGTCGAATTAACTCACGAATTAGGACATAGTTTCGGGAGTTATGATGATCCTCAGAATAATCCTATTTGTAGTCCTGGTGATTTCGGAAGTTCCTTAGGGAATTTCATCATGTATCCATTTGTCAGCGAAGGTTATGAACCGAATAAAAAATTATTTTCTATTTGTAGCACGCAAGAAATGCTAAAAATAATTTACCGGAGACGAAATTGTTTTAAAGAAAGTGCGATTTCAGTTTGTGGAAATGCCATTACTGAAAACGAAGAGGAGTGCGACTGCGGTACTAATGAAACGTGTCGATTAATTGATAAATGTTGCACACCTAAAGGTGGTATAGGACAGGATAAAGAATGCACTTTTAAAAAGACGAATGGAGCGAAATGCAGTCCTCTCGAAGGAGAATGTTGTACCGAACAGTGTAATCTGATCCCAGCCAACGAAAATTTTAAGTGTCATAAAGATTTTCCATGTTATAGTAATGTTACGTGTAACGGTAATTCACAGTTGTGTCCTATAGATATAAAAAATGACGGAATTCCCTGTTTAGGTAATTATCTTACCTGCAAGAAAGGTAAATGTATCAGTAACGTTTGTCAGGATCATAATCTCAAAAGTTGTCAATGCACATCTTCGGATAAAAAGTGTCACGTATGTTGTCTAGATAATAACGAAGTATGTCGTTCCGCCGAAGAATTCGGTTACTTTACTCCCGAGGGAACAGTTTTTATGAAACTTGCAGGAATTAGATGCGACGGAACGAGCGTATGCGACGATAATGGTCGTTGCATTTTCAAAAGACAATCTTTACATTGGATTTACTTAATGTTAGTGTTTATTATACTAATATTAATAAGTCTTTACATGCTACAATTTAAATTTCGTATTTTTAAAATAATAAAATTTTAATAATATCAGCCCTATCTCTAATTTCTGTTGCTATACGTATGAAAATTTCCTTTAATTAGACAGGTTATACAGTAGAGCATCGTTTATCCGAATCAATTGGAGACTGGGGTTGTTCGGATAACTTATTTTTCGGATAACCAATTATGTACGAAAAAATATATTAATTTATCCCGTGTTGAAATTTTTCTCCGTTGCGTGTCGCTTCGAGTTGAATTTTCGTCGATGTTAAGCCTAACGAAGACTATTGTATCGTTAAAAATTATTTTTTTTATTTTGTACAAACAAAATAAATATATTGAAAAATATAAAAACAATAAAAAAATTATACTTCAGAAGTTAATTTAGTATCAAAAACGTAAAATATTTGAGTAGCCCAAGATATAGCCAAAGATTACAGCGCCACAGCACTGGCGAAAATTTAAATTTGTCGACTGGAATTTCTTCGAATAACCGACGTTTCGGATAAACGACGCTGTACTGTAATTATAACTACATCTGGAATTTTAAATAAAAAAATCTTTAGTTAACTATTGGTTGATTCGTTTGCCTTCGCTACTGACGTCATGCGCAAATCGGACGAATTTAGTACAAGATTTTATTTACGTCACGGACGAAATTAGAATTTGTCGCCAGGGGGACACGAATGTTTAGGTCATGTGATCAACGAGAAATGGGATTTAATCATCAGTGGAGAAATCGTTGATTTAAAAATATGTGGTGGTATAAATATGTAAATTAATGAATGTTCCGATGCAGCTTTTCTTCGTATATGATTTGACTTACTGCAAAAAGGAAAGCGATGATCCTAAAGATGCAATTATATATTTCCACCCACCTCAGGTATCAGAGAATAAAAGATGTATTATTTGTTGTCAGCTTGTGGGAATGGTTCAGTTTTTCCAGTCGACTTTCTCTTGTCCTAAAATTATAGTCCTTCAGAAAGGCAAATTTGCTGTTAAAGTATGTGATAATTACTTGCTTGCTTTGGAAGCCAAGTCCGGTGTTCCGGATAATATTGTCTGGAGGCAATTGAATCATTTATATAATACCTTTTGCTTCTATCATAAAAGTATTAGCAGAGTTTATAAACTTTGTAAGAGGAGACAAGATTTCGTTAAGAGAATGGAAATTATAATGAACTGTTGCTTACCGGTGTCGTGCTGTTTCGGCAACGACGTTCTGTTGGCGTTCGACGCGCTTCCCGTCTTTCTCGTGCCCGAAGTTAAGTATTCTTCTATATATTTAGAAGCCATTAAATTGTTACGCAACTGTCAGAAACATTCCGGAATTATTGCGGGATGTATATTATTCGATAATCAAATATTAGTCACTCAGTTAAACAGTGTGGTGACTAGATACGTATTGCTCGTTAAATTTATACACGAGCTTTTCTCGCCGGAAGAAATTCAAGTACCTTTCCAATTACCTTCCGGAATTGAAATTGTTAAAGTATTTATTAAAAGAAAAATGCTCGAACGTATTAATAAAGTAAGCAAATACTATGCTAAAATGACAAACAAATTGCAGGGCGGCGGTTCGAACACGTACGCGTCCGACGTCGACGTTAGCTCGGGTTCCGAAGGAGACGTCGATTCCGACGCCAGCGTCGAAAATGCGTGGGAAGTTAAGTTTGTTTCTAAACGTAAAGACGAAAGTGATGTCAAATCCGAACAGTTAGAATCGTCCGACGATGCCGAAGATTGTTTAAAATCTGATAAAGGTGGTGATATTTGGAGATCAATCTCTGATTCTGATGATGAAAAGTCAAATGTTTGTAAAATATTTATGAAAAAATATGGCATTTTACATTATCCATCATCATCATCTATATCATATGATCAAATTGATACTCTTATTAGTCAGGATTATAATTTGAATGATGATTACAAAAATAATGATGAAATTCAAGAAATGAGATTGTTTATTCAGTATTATATGAATTCTGTTATGGTGTTACTTGTAAATTGGTATGCTGTTCAGAATATTGAATTAATACAATCAGTATGGAATACTGCATTACCAGTTTTGAGTGATTTAGAAGTTGCATTGCAGTGCCATGTCAAGAATAAACAAAAAGTTAAAACAAAAAATGATTCATTTCTTTATTTACAACAACAAGAAAGAATTCTTAATGGTTGCCCGATACCAAATTCTTCAATAAATGATTCACCTTTACTTAAAAGTCTTCAACGTATTCATTTAGATTTTGAGAAAAATACTCATTTATCAGATGTGTCCACCATTGTTTGTGATAAAATGATTCATGCTTGTAGGTCGTCCATTCATGAAGTGTATTATCTTCGACCGTATGAAGAACATTCAGTATTTTCTCTTGGATATCTTCCTGATGAAGCAATTGATAAACTAGAAAATAAACTTACAGAGTTTCTACCTTAGACATACCATTTCTAACACATGATACACCAGGGACAAAAACTTTCCTCACCCAGTCTGGCAATATCTCCTTAGTCTTTTGCATTAATCACTGCCATCAACAGATGAACATGCTGATGTTCATCTGTTTGTTTATGCTATCCCATCTTCTTTCCTTATCAATACCGGCATTCCATTTTTAATGTGCCGGAATATGACCCATTAACTTGGTTGAAAATTGCAGCAATGATTTAAACTTCACCCAATGTTAAAGGTGCATTGATTAATTCAGCTCAGAATATGGACGTCAGTTTTCTGAAATTGAATACTTCAGATTTGGATTTGTCAAATCTTAATTCTTAGACAATTATTACTAGTTAACTTGTTGTATGTACAAATAAAAACTCTCTATCACACCAAGAACCAGCAATAAATCTCCAACAAATGTAATAAAAACAACCATTTTCTTCCATTTGAAAAGGGAAGAAAAGTTCATTTTTTTGCTGATTCTTGATATGATAATGTTTATTCTTAATTGATGGATTTTAATTCAGAATCTAGTGCTAAATTCACCAAAGGGTGTGTTAATAATAAAGATAATAGTGATGGTGATTTTATTTCAAATTATTTAAGTCAGTGGTTGTATATGGTAAAAGGGAAATAGATAGAGTTCTATTTTAGTCACACAAAAATATCTAAAGATTCCACCACACCTTTCTTTTTTCTACCACTTTCTTTAATTTAACTAACATTTTGGTTGAAAACATTAGTTAAATTAAAGAAAGTGGTAGAAAAAAGAAAGAAAGGTGTTGTGAAATCTATCTATAATTTCTAGTTTACTGTACATAGAATTGCAAGAATATCTAATATATATTTTGAAATTTCTTTGTTTCCATTCTAGTAATGCCAACTCAGTTGATTTTAATAGATCTACAGATGAAGAACAATCTTTTAGATCAGTATTTCTCAACAGGGTCCAGTATATTACACCCCTATATAAGTAACACTATCAGACAAAAGATGATATAGTCTTATATTTAACTAGCTGTTACCTGTGACTTCGCCTGTGTGGATTTTCCAAGCAAACACCATTTATATTCAGTATTTCAACAACCGTAGTAATTGTTATATAACACCTACCGCTGAATCAAGAGAATTGCTGAGAATCAAACGAACTATTTTCAATTTGATCAATTTTCTGGAACATTTACAATTGTTCTATAATCGAACCAATATGCAATAACAAATTCAAATTTAAAACAGTTCGAACATTTGGTTAAAAAATCTAAAAATATAAAAATATTTATANTTAATTACAGTATTATGTATTAAAAGTGAAATCGATATTGCATATCTTTAAAATTTCTGAACTACACTAAAATAGTCTTAATCTTTCTTTAGAGTAGTGTTACTCGACAGGAATAATATCATTCCCAGATGCCAAAAAATAGGTTTATCGAGGGATAAGAAATAGTTTTAGACGAGAAAATATATTGGAAATCACATCAAACACAACACAGAAAGAGGTACGGTAAAGTACATACATATATAACGCTACCGGGCGAAAGATAATGGACTTATAGTAGTATAAATAAGCGTGATTTTTCTTATAAAGAATGTTGTTTTAAATTTTGTTAGGGAGACAATTAGAAATAATAATGACTAAAAAAAAGTTCTTTAGGGAGTGATTTTGAAAGAAAGATTTGAGAAATATTATTTTAAACCATGAAAGAGAATAGTAATAGTTAAATATCTGATTACTGGCAAATTTGCTTATGTGTAATCAGTATGAGCAAATAAAATATTTTAAATCAAAGATAATTCTATTCAAATAGAATAGCTTATTAAAGCTTTATTAGTACATTGTACTGTAAAATTCTATTGCCTCTTAAATTTCAAAATAGATATTGGAGAAAATACAAATGATGATAGTGTTTTCCAAAAATAACTACAAAATGTATTATTTTTTGAAAATAAGTAGCATATATTATTATGCTAGTATCTGTTATTTGTATATTTTTGTAAATGTGATAATTTAATAATTATAAAATTTTTATTATATATTCAATTTTATATAAAAACTAATAAGTTTTAAATTAATTTTTAATGCTGCAAATTTTTATGTTTTACTTGTTTCTTCACTTTGAACATTCAAATAATAATAATAATAATAATCCATTAATTAAATATGTTTATGGTTTTTAAATCATTTTTGACTCCTCTCTGTTGTGTACAATGTTATACTTATGGCAAAACCTTTTTAATTACATGTACGAAAGTTTACGGACCCGATATTGAAGAAATAACTTTAAAAAGCCCCGAAAAAGCTTTTGTAATCGATATTAGTCTTGTGAATAAATGTGCTTATGAGAAAAAGTTTGTATACCATTAATACCTCTATAAAAGCCTTATAAACAATGCCTTGATTTCTTCCCTCCCCACCATTTACAATGATGTACTTTTTTAAACCCCTCTTAAACTGTACATATAATTAATGAATGCCCCTAAAAAAGCTGAGTCAAAGGAAATATTCAATGATTTCCATAAATGACTACAAATATAAAATTATTTATGTATGAATAAATCATTTTATTTGATTAACAAACCTGTATTGTTAAATATAACATTGTATTTATAAAAAAGAAATAGCAATGCCATAGTTTGTTATAAAAGATTTGTATTAAAATTGTAGAAACTGAATTATTTGGATTTGTTAAATTACAAATGTTTAGTTTCAGATTCAGTGAACCCAAAAATACCATTATTACACTGTTGTTAATGGAAAAAAAATCATGAAAAACGAATTTGTTAGAAATAATAATAAAGTATTGTATATTATATTGAAATTTATATTTTTGATTTAAAATGTATACTTTAAAATATAAATAAAAATAAATATGTAAATAAAAATTCTTTTCAAAGCTGTTTACTTTTGGAAAAACAAAAATAGACGAGTTTGCATAGTCCATGATAGCAAAGATTTAACTCAAGAAAACTTAAATACTTAACGAAAAGACCATACAGATTGATATTCTTCAGTTGGAGATGTTCTAAAAAGGAAACAAAAATTTCAATGGTCAGTTTATCTGGTTTAAATGTTCATGACTTAAATACAAGGGATTATAACTCTGCAGAAGTAATAACATGATTCCTATATGTTTTAGATATCAAATGCTTTGGTAGTTGGGTTGCAATTTGAAAAAACTGTAACCTATAAATTCCTGCTGTCGTCCATCTGTCTTTTCTTAATCTCGAGAATGGTGTTAGATAAATGAAATTCAAGACTAGATGTGGAAAGCTTAGGGCAAGAGGCCTCGATATTTCAATTAAAAAATTTTCCCATGAAAGGAGTTGGTTGATCAGTAGGACACTATTGTTAACGGGAAGAGTATGTATGATGTTACTGTACAGGGGCAAGCCACTACTAATTTGTGATGGAGAGCATATATTTTAAATGAAATAAATTAAAAATATGATTAAAAATTGTAGCCTGGCATTGTGATCATGTCACAATAAATAATTGCTCTTTTCATATATAATACCTCTGTTAAGAATAAAATTTGCTGATTTTATGACAAAAATAGTACAGTAATACCTTGACTTACGCAAACCAGGAGTTATGCGATTTTCAAATTTTGTTGATTGGTCTTTTGTTTGAGCACCATGCAACTCTTGATTACTCACTCCTCCCACACTATTGTTCGGTTTACATTTTCGGACGTGTTGCGCGGAATCAACACATAGCTACAATTTATTTTGTGTGTGTTATATCTATGGAGACTTGAAAGACTATGTGGTGATTACTTGTAACCGTGAACGAATCAAAACACGAGATAAGATTAACGAGAACATTTATTAGCTTACATACATCCGTCTTGGATTTTACGCAAATTGCGAAATTATACCCCGACTTACGCGAATTTGACTTATGCGGTTATCGCTCGGTCCCACCTATCGCATAAGTTCGGGGTATTACTGTACTACTACTAATACTACTACAAGAGAAAACTACAAAATTATTTATTTGATAAAATTCATTTTTATTTAGCATTTTATTTTAACCTTTTCCTTGAAAAACTAATTACCACAAAAATAATAAAAGACAAGCAAGCTTTTCAATTTAATTTAATTCAATAATTTTGTATTTTATCACAAAGCTTATTAAGTCAAGGCTGAATTTTTGAGACAGTGGGATTCTTTTGAAAAATGTAATAGCTTTTTCTATGTACATTAGATGATTTGTTCTAAATGTCTACAAGAGCTGAAGCTTGTGAAGTTAAAAAGCTTTGCAGGCCTCAAGCTCTTTAGTTTGTTAACATTTTGCAACAAAGTATATAAAATGGTTGATGTTCATCATTCATTTCCTTTTTTATGCAAAACTATGTTTTAGAAATTCTTCAGCATATTTTTTTTCTTACAGTTGCTGTCTTTTGAATAATTCAGTTATTTTTTATTTAAATTTTGTTAATATTAGCAATGTATTCTGCATTATTTCAGTTTTATTGTTTTTGGTTGGTACAAGTTTCTAATTCTTGAGTTTTTCTTAATAATCTACCAGTTTATGTTTCTAGATAAAACAATAATGTAAATACTGTACATCCTTTTTTGACAAGAAAAGTATGTATTTTTTTATTATTATTTGAATTCATTTAATATATTTAAGTCTTTATTGTTACCTACGAGTACAGAAGAAATACATACAATACAAGCTTTATACCAAAGAAAAGTTATAAAAAGGTTATAAAAGATAAAACACTATGCATTGTTACCATTTTGATGTATATAATGTGACTTAGGCCAATAATCACATAGCAATTGTTGAAAATAGTCATTCTCAGTTACCGAATAATTGCATTTGATTTTACATTTCACATAGATAATCTGGTCTCTAATAATAAGTTGCATGTAATGAATATTTTATTCTGTACTCACTTAATTACTTATCTGTTATATATAACAGAGGGAAAATATGACGATTGGTCAAAAAGTGACCCCAAAGATGGGACTCGGAACCTTGAAATGTCGAGAAATGCAAAAAATTTGGGTTTTTTTCCCCTGTATGTATGGGTGTATGTGGGGGGTGCACAGTTTTGTTCACTCTCATTGAAGATTAATAATTCCTATGATTTTTGTCAAAAATGTCTGAAATTTTGCAGAGAGGTTTGTATTAGGGGATTGATTCTGTTAAATTTTGGTGGTTAAAGGTCGACAGGGTGGGGAGATAAAGGGGGTAGTCTGTCATATCTCGAGTAAGGTTGAACTCAATGAAGATTTTACTCATTATTAGCAGTTACAATTTTTTTATAAAACCCATCTTACCCACAAAATTCAGCTTTTTGCCATTTTATAATAATTAAAAATATAATATTTTATTATTAACAACTTTTTATAGCAGATGACACCACACATGCAGTTTTAAAGGTTGCTGGGAAACTTAGCGATTCATTCCTGGATATTTTTTGTTTGTTAATTGAAATTTATCTTCTCCAATTGAATGTTGCCTATATTCTTTGGCAGTCAAAAATCATCTAGAATCTGTATATTGACGACAATTGCTAAAAAATATAGCAACCACAACTTTCCTGGGTATCTGCACCTATTTATCTGTATGAAATGTGACTATTACTAGTGTATTCAGTTTTATTAATGTAATTGAAAGGAAATTATTGCACTTTGTTTCTTAACTCACAAAACTTATTATAAAATGTACGTAATATTCACATTAAGGAAATGGCAGTGCCAAATTTTGTCGTAGTGGCTGAATTTTGAAGTAAAATCGTCCCCAAAAATTGAAACTGCGTCCTCGGATAGTAAGTACAGTATGTCGAATTTAGTTGTGATTTACCCAATAGTTCTTCCTACAGAGAGTGCTGAGCACTTACTCTTTAATTATAATCACTCCATATAAAATGATACAAACTCAAAATGTTACATTAATTTGTCTTTATTAAAACTTTATTTTGTGTAATATGTAGTCTAAATGCAAGTATGTTGTCATTTATATAATATATATGATTAAAGTGACTAGATATAGCAGTCTTCAATGTTTGCTAATGACAATCAGGGCCATTGAGAGGGGGATTTTTCCCTGGGCCTGGAGAAAACTTGGGGGCCATATAAATTAATTTTATTCTTATTAACAAAAAGCCCAAGAGATTGTAATTCCATTCTTAACATGAATCTATATCTATCATATT